AGTAAATGATTTCTGGCACCGCCGCTGGTGCGAATACGTAGTGTCTGGCCGGGTATCAACGCAGCAGTGCAGCAGAGCAGCGCGAGCGGCGACGACTCCTCGTTCAGCCGACGAGGACGTCGAAGCCGCCATAACGGCAGCGTGGAGTGCCGGCCAGAGACACGGCTTGCCGCCGCACGCAGACACGCGCATGCACACAGAGGGGAGAGACACCATGAGAGAGATGAATAGAGAGGCGATTAAAGAAGGAGCCAGAGCGAGACGCGAGAGAGACAGAGAGCGCCGCGCGCCGTGGAGGACAGAGAAAGAGAGAGAGAGAGAGAGAGACGAGAGAGAGAGAGAGAGAGAGAGAGAGAGAGCGCGCGCGCGCGACAGCAAAAGCAGGGCCGCAGCCTGCGCAAATTCCTAGGCGAGGGATTCAGCTGTGCTATGACGAGAGAGAAGCACAGCTTCCGTTAAACGTGCATAGCGTGGCGAGGGTCGGTGTGGAACGAGGGGTTTCGGAGAAGACTAGGCGATAGCTATAGTTGACTCTTGCTTAAGGGTTGTTTAAGGGTCATGCAGAAGACCTATATATTCTAATTTCTCCAAAATCTGTATGGGGTCAGCGGTAGCATAACGTAGTAGTATAGTTATATTTAGTTTGGCATGTAAGATCTCGCTCCGAATGCCTCACTTTGAAAATTTTTAGGAACAGTTGCACCAAATTTACCTATAGCTGAGCGGTATACCTGTGTTCACGCATGCCCAGTATCTGTTAAATAAACAAATATTTTGTTAGAATTATATTTTTAAAATGGCGAGAAAATATTTGTCGAAGTAGCTAGACTAAAAATGAATATCGGTGGCTCTCTCCAATGCTGATAGAGTGCTTTCGTTAACGTGTCGCTAATGAAATTTAAATTCGCCTATAGGTGGCGATATATGTCCTACATGACATAAGTATAGCGTTTGCCCTTCCGCACACTACTCAGTGAGTGCAATTGGTGGTGGAGGAAAAGGAGATAAGACAGAGATAAAGAGCATGGGGACGGGTGAAAGGGTCAGAGAGAGAGAGAGAGAGAGAGAGAGAGAGAGAGAGAGAGAGCAAGACAGAGAAGTGGGGGAAGAGGAGCCGGGAAAGCAAAGAAGGCTATCGCTCTTCCTGCAGTCCCTTCCGTTGCTAACACTCAGTTGGATGCTTCTGCCCATCTCCAGCCTCTGCGAGCAGGTGCGAACGTTGGAAGGTGAGGCGGAGGAGCGGCAGGCTGCCGTCACGCGTCTGCAAGAGGCGGAGCGGCAGCGGCATAGCGACCAGCGGAGGATGAACGTCGTCGGCAAGCGCTCGGGCTTGCGCCGCTACCACAGCTTCGAGAACGGCTTCCTGGATCGCATCACCGACGCACCGGGCGATCCGTACCTGGATGAGATACACAGGTATGTGCGTGCGTGTGTGTGTGTGTGTGTGTGTGTGTGTGTGTGTGTGTGTGTGTGTGTCGATTATATATTAAGCGCCTTCGCTGACGTCTAATTTGAGGATGGCGATTTTAGCCTATTTATCTCATCACTTTTTAGTTTGAGGATGTATTTACAGTAAAGGAAAAAATTAGCTAATATTAGACTCGAGTCATCATATGCAATATTTGTTTAAATTTTTACTATAAAATTACATACAATTAAAAAAAAAGGGAAAATGGGGTGATTTCAATAGTACAATTTCACTTATTGAGATATTATTTCGCGTTCTGAATACGTAAGCGGAAATGTATTCGCGGAGCCGGGCGGGCAGAGGGCCTCCCAGCTTGCGAATCGCGCGAGGCACGACGGCGCACGGTTTTCGGAAGAGTACGGAATAACGACACTTCGGCATCTTTCTACTATTTATATGTAGATACATTGAAAGACATTGAACGCGTTCGTACGTTTGCACTGTGTGATTTCTAAGCATGCGTGCGGTTTACGGCGGCGGTATCCCAGCGCCTCCGCTTATATCCGACGTTGCCCACCTGTATTATCAAGGAGTAGGACCTATTATCTACTGCAGTTGGCAGGTACAGTTGCATGTTGCTGCTGTATATCGTGATTCGCGAAGGAGATAACTCGATGCAGTGGCACGTTTGCTTGTCCGACGCGTAGAGTGAATAGGCGTCATAGAAAGGAACGCCCCCCTGTAGCGCAAGCGAGGTCTATAAGCTGGTATTCCACATAACTAGGAGGGTCCATGCCCTCATATTACAAAGGCCTATTAGGCACGAGTGTCGCCGCGCCGTCACGCTTTTAGCATGAACCAGGGCACGGGCGCGGCACGAACTGACCCGCACCACCACTGATTGTCACGCTAAATAGAGCTACATCTGCTTACGCACCCACCCATTGGGCATACCACAACACATAGCAAACACACGCCCCCGGGGCGTCCCTTTTCAGGCACCTACACTTTGATAAATAGAAGAGAGAGGCTGAGGCGATACAAGTATGTAGCAGATCGACTGGCTGGCAGTTACGGCGCGAGCATCTTTAACGTTTATTCTAAGTCTGTAAGCGGGTTGCGATGTAGGTGGCTGGCCGGTGTGTGATGCTTGCCTCCGCTCCCCGCCTGCCACGCGCATCCGGCCTGTTCTGTCTGCGACAGCGAGAGAGCAGTTTACAGCGCGACTATATCCAGCTGTACATATGCGTCACGTAGTTGTATTTACAGCGCGTATACGGTCATGCATCAACATCATCAATGCATGCATCATCATCGTCATCATCATGCATCCATCAAAACACAAACCAACAACAACAACAAAACAACAACAACAAGCAACAACAACAACAACAACAGTAGGAGCAGGCAGCGGCCAGCGGCAGCAGTAGGACAGCAAGGCAGTGGTAAGGAATAGCAAGCAGCAGCAGCAGTAGCAGGGCAGTAAGCAACAGTTAAAGCGCGTAGGCAGGCAGTAATGTAGCTTAGGTAGCAAAACGAGCAGTAGCAGTAATTATGGTTGCGGTGGGCAGCGCAACTTATTAAGGAGCTGGAATGCAGGCATGTTTCCGGGCGTGTTCCTTACTGCACTACAGCAGACGTCAACAACAAGCAAGCGAACAAACAACAGTATAATCGCTGCGTGTCGCGTTAGAGCCACTCACGTCTAACCCCACATCTAGCGCCATTCACAAGACAAGAGAGTGAAGACGTACAGCCCTTCAGTCAGAGTTCGCGATGGTTTTCTAGTTAATACGCCTTTTACAAACCAAGCTAATGGCAATCGTGTTTGACTGCGAAACACGATTGCCATTTAGGTGCTTGATAACTGCTATAAAGGTAGCAAACACCGAGCGCTCGCCGCGGCGCTGCTTACAGCGGGCCATGTACTTATAGGTTAGGTGGTTAACGCGCCCCGATAAATACTGAGTATAACCCGCAGTAGCAGTTGCGACAACTTCGACAATCCATGCAAATAAAGTTCTGCCCGTCTGCTTTGGCGGTATTGCGTACATATAAAACAATTTATATAATAAGCCTCAATATAACTAAATAAATGGAAACATTAAGGGCATATATATAATATATAATATATATAATATATATATATATATATAATATATATATATAATAAAGCTATAATGATAAGGGTGTAGCAATCGATAGTAAACTCCTTTAACGTTCGCATCCAGAGCAGCGCCGTAGCTAATAAACGATGACGTCATTTCGGCATTTATCGTCGCCACGCAGACGGCATGCAGCTTGGCGGCAGAACTGGAAGTTCCTGTTGGAGAGGAGCAAAGAGCTCGAGCGTGGCACCGAGGGATCAGCAGCACACCAACGATGACAGTAGCGCTGGCAGATCGTAGGTACTGACTGACATGATTGACGATGGCAATGACGGCAGGCGGAAATGTATACAGTAAAGTACCGTAAACATACATATATGCCTAACTGGCCTTACCATATACGCAGGCGGCTATATTATAGAGGGCAGGCAAGCGAGCAAAGAGAGAGAGAGAGAGAGAGAGAGAGAAAGAGGAGAGAGAAAGAGAGGCAAGAGAGAGAGAGAGAGAGAGAGAGAGATGAGAAAGAGAGAGGGAGAGAGAGAAAGCAAAGAGAGTGAGAGAGAGAAAGGGAAGAGAGCGAGAGAGAGAGAGAGAGAGAGTAGAGAGAGAGAGAGAGAGAGAAGAGATGAGAGAGAGAGAAGAGCAAGAGAGAGAGAGGAGAGAAAGAAAGAGAGAGAGAGTAGAGAGAGAGAGAAAAGGTTGAGAGAGAAGAGAGAGAGAGATGAAGAGGGAGAGAGAGAGCGAGAGAAGAGAGAGAGAGAGAGAGAGAGAGAGAGAGAGAGAGATCGAGAGAGAGAGAGAGAGAGAGAGAGAGAGAGAGCAAGTGAGAGAGAGAGAGCGAGAGAGAGAACGAGCGAGAGAGAGAGAAAGAGACATAGATAGAAAGAGGCAGAGCGGCAGAGAGAAGGATTGAGCTTGATTAAAAGAAAGACATAGATAGAAAGAGGCAGAGCGGCAGAGAGAAGGATTGAGCTTGATTAAAATAAAGACAGAGAAAGTAGGCAAATGGGGAGTGTCTAACTGCACATAGAGCGAACCAGCTAGTCTGTATACTTCGGCTCCCATCCATAAACTCTGCTGCACTGCAACGAAGGTCAGGGGCAGGAACCAAATCCCCACGCTGTTATACTCGCAGCTTTCGTGTAAAGAATTGTGTTTAGTATTGAATGCTTGACCGGGATCAATATCAGGAGTAGATAATAGGGAATTCCCTATTATCTACTCCTGATCAATATCCACCTCTCTGTCTCTCTCTTTCTCTCTCTCCTGTCCTTGTCCCCGGTCAGCTGAACAACTGACAAGCCTGGTAGGCGGGATTTCATTCATTATTTAACACCCCTCTTCTTCTCTCTCCCTATGTCTCAGTCTCTGTCAGTACCTGAACTAGCATTCCGGCGGAATTTCTTTCATTAACACCCCTCTCTCTCTCAGACTCTGTCAGTACCTGAACAATTAAGCACGTTACGCGGGATTTCCCATACTCTCCTTCCCTCCTCAACACCCCTCCTCAACATTATTATTTATTCATTTTATTTATTCCTCTAATTATACTCTCCGCATTAACACCCATCCTTCCTCTCTCTCTCTCTCTCTCTCTCTCTCTCTCTCTCTCGTCTCTGCTCTCTCTCCTCTCTCTCTCTCTTCTCTCCCATTCTCCGGTATGTCTCTCAGGAGTGGTCTCTCTCGTCCTGCTTCTCTTCTCTTTTTGCTGCTCTCTTTCTCTCGGCTCGCGTCGCTCTCTCTCTCTCTCTCTCTCTTGTCGGCTCGGTCTCTCTCTCTCTGCTCTCTCTACTCGGTCTCTCTCTCTCTC